CTATGTAAAGCTTTGATTCCCCATTGTTGCCCCGCCCTACCCCAGGGGGTCATGATTTGAACAAATTTGAATCCACACTACCTGAGGATGCTTCCATATAAATATGATGAATTATGGCTTTGTCATTCTTGAGAAGTTGATTTTTAAAGAATTTTCCTATATATTTCTATGTAAAACTTTGGTCGGCCATTTTGGCCCCGCCCTACCCCCGGGGGTCATGATTTGAACAAATTTGAATCTACACTACCTGAGGATGCTTCCATATAAATATGATGAATTATACTTTGTCATTCTTGAGAAGAAGATTTTTAAAGAATTTTCCTATATATTTCTATGTAAAACTTTAGTTGGCCATTTTGGCCCCGCCCTACCCCTGGGGGTCATGATTTGAAAAAATTTGAATCTACACAACCTGAGGATGCTTCCATTTAAATATGATGAATTATGGCTTTGTCATTCTTGAGAAGAAGATTTTTAAAGAATTTTCCAATATATTTCTTTGTAAAACTTTGGTCGGCCATTTTGGCCCCGCCCTACCCCAGGGGGTCATGATTTGAACAAATTTGAATCCACACTACCTGAGGATGCTTCCATATAAATATGATGAATTATACTTTGTCATTCTTGAGAAGAAGATTTTTAAAGAATTTTCCTATATATTTCAATGTAAAACTTTTGTTGGCCATTTTGGCCCCGCCCTACCCCTGGGGGTCATGATTTGAACAAACTTGAATCTACACTACCTGAGGATGCTTCCATATAAATATGATGAATTATACTTTCAATTTGTCATTCTTGAGAAGAAGATTTTTAAAGAATTTTCCTATATATTTCTATGTAAAACTTTAGTTGGCCATTTTGGCCCCGCCCTACCCCAGGGGGTCATGATTTGAACAAATTTGAATCTACACTACCTGAGGATACTTCCATATAAATATGATGAATTATGGCTTTGTCATTCTTGAGAAGTTGATTTTTAAAGAATTTTCCTATATATTTCTATGTAAAACTTTGGTCGGCCATTTTGGCCCCGCCCTACCCCCGGGGGTCATGATTTGAACAAATCTGAATCTACACTACCTGAGGATGCTTCCATATAAATATGATGAATTATACTTTGTCATTCTTGAGAAGAAGATTTTTAAAGAATTTTCCTATATATTTCTATGTAAAACTTTAGTTGGCCATTTTGGCCCCGCCCTACCCCTGGGGGTCATGATTTGAAAAAATTTGAATCTTCACAACCTGAGGATGCTTCCATTTAAATATGATGAATTATGGCTTTGTCATTCTTGAGAAGAAGATTTTTAAAGAATTTTCCAATATATTTCTATGTAAAACTTTGGTCGGCCATTTTGGCCCCGCCCTACCCCAGGGGGTCATGATTTGAACAAATTTGAATCCACACTACCTGAGGATGCTTCCATATAAATATGATGAATTATACTTTGTCATTCTTGAGAAGAAGATTTTTAAAGAATTTTCCTATATATTTCTATGTAAAACTTTGGTCGGCCATTTTGGCCCCGCCCTACCCCTGGGGGTCATGATTTGAAAAAATTTGAATCTACACAACCTGAGGATGCTTCCATTTAAATATGATGAATTATGGCTTTGTCATTCTTGAGAAGAAGATTTTTAAAGAATTTTCCAATATATTTCTATGTAAAACTTTGGTCGGCCATTTTGGCCCCGCCCTACCCCAGGGGGTCATGATTTGAACAAATTTGAATCCACACTACCTGAGGATGCTTCCATATAAATATGATGAATTATGGCTTTGTCATTCTTGAGAAGAAGATTTTTAAAGAATTTTCCTATATATTTCTATGTAAAACTTTGGTCGGCCATTTTGGCCCCGCCCTACCCCCGGGGGTCATGATTTGAACAAATTTGAATCTACACTACCTGAGGATGCTTCCATATAAATATGATGAATTATACTTTGTCATTCTTGAGAAGAAGATTTTTAAAGAATTTTCCTATATATTTCTATGTAAAACTTTAGTTGGCCATTTTGGCCCCGCCCTACCCCTGGGGGTCATGATTTGAAAAAATTTGAATCTACACAACCTGAGGATGCTTCCATTTAAATATGATGAATTATGGCTTTTTCATTGTTGATAAAAAGATTTTTAAAGAATTTTCCAATATATTTCTTTGTAAAACTTTGGTCGGCCATTTTGGCCCCGCCCTACCCCAGGGGGTCATGATTTGAACAAATTTGAATCCACACTACCTGAGGATGCTTCCATATAAATATGATGAATTATACTTTGTCATTCTTGAGAAGAAGATTTTTAAAGAATTTTCCTATATATTTCTATGTAAAACTTTTGTTGGCCATTTTGGCCCCGCCCTACCCCTGGGGGTCATGATTTGAACAAACTTGAATCTACACTACCTGAGGATGCTTCCATATAAATATGATGAATTATACTTTCAATTTGTCATTCTTGAGAAGAAGATTTTTAAAGAATTTTCCTATATATTTCTATGTAAAACTTTAGTTGGCCATTTTGGCCCCGCCCTACCCCTGGGGGTCATGATTTGAAAAAATTTGAATCTACACAACCTGAGGATGCTTCCATATGAATATGATCAATTATGGCTTTGCTATTCTTGAGAAGAAGATTTTTAAAGAATTTTCCTATATATTTCTATATAAAACTTTGGTCGGCCATTTTGGCCCCGCCCTACCCCCGGGGGTCATGATTTGAACAAATTTGAATCCACACTACCTGAGGATGCTTCCATATAAATATGATGAATTATACTTTGTCATTCTTGAGAAGAAGATTTTTAAAGAATTTTCCTATATATTTCTATGTAAAACTTTTGTTGGCCATTTTGGCCCCGCCCTACCCCTGGGGGTCATGATTTGAACAAACTTGAATCTACACTACCTGAGGATGCTTCCATATAAATATGATGAATTATACTTTCAATTTGTCATTCTTGAGAAGAAGATTTTTAAAGAATTTTCCTATATATTTCTATGTAAAACTTTAGTTGGCCATTTTGGCCCCGCCCTACCCCTGGGGGTCATGATTTGAAAAAATTTGAATCTACACAACCTGAGGATGCTTCCATATAAATATGATGAATTATGGCTTTGTCATTCTTGAGAAGAAGATTTTTAAAGAATATTCCTATATATTTCTATGTAAAACTTTGGTCCGCCATTTGGCCCCGCCCTACCCCCGGGGGGTCATGATTTGAACAAACTTGAATCTACACTACCTGAAGATATTTCCCCATAAGTTTCATCTTTCCTGGCACAGTGGTTCTTGAGAAGAAGATTTTTAAAACATGCCACCAAATTTTCATTAATTCCCAATTATCTCCCCTTGAATGAGGGCGTGGCCCTTCATTTGTACAAACTTGAATCCCTTCACCCAAGGATGCTTTGTGGCAAGTTTGGTTGAAATTGGTCCAGCGGTTCTTGAGAAGAAGTCGAAAATGTGAAAAGTTTACAGACAGACAGACAGACAGACGGACGCCAGACAAAATGTGATCAGAAAAGCTCACTTGAGCCTTCGGCTCAGGTGAGCTAAAGTATCTTTGAATATTTTATATGTTTAAAAAAAATTTATGGTAGATAGTGCAGACCCATTCATCTCTTGATAGTAATGAGTAGACAAGCATCCAGTTAAAGATTAATTAATGAGTTCAATGTAGGAAGGCTAGCTGTCTCAATCACTCTGATCACGCAGTCTTATCTGTATCCTTATAGGATTAGACAGAAGAACTGCTGGACAGTTTATAGCATATGTCATTTGATGGCCAGCCTTTTCTTTTCAAAATTAATTTGGTATATAGATTAAGATGTTAAGACTAATTTGATATTGTTTAATATGATGGGCATTTGACAAGGTCTAACACAACCAGCATAGAAATCTATCAATGATGTAATATTTATTATAATTAATGCCTACATCACAGGGAGTGGATACATATTTTAAGGAATGGAAAAATCATGGAAATCTTAGAATCAAGGTTGGCGTGATTTTCTTGCACGCTAAACTGTTCAAGAAAATTGTATTTTTTTGACGGGCCTATCATGCTGTGGCGCGGCACTTTATTTATTCTATGATTATTATTATCTAAAGACTTCTTTACATAGAAAAATCACTTGTCCAATCGGACAAGTGCCCAGCAATATTCACTTGTCCGTAATTTTTTTTCATTGGTACCGGACAAGCGTTAATGTCGAGCCCTGACTACGAGGTAAACAGTCAAACTATTGTCCCTCGGTAGTGGGGAAGACCTGGGAAACTGTAAAGATTAAATTAATATTTGATAATTTTAATTAATACTTAATAAATTGATTTTTTGTGTGTTTTATTCCAATTCAGTTAATTATATAGCAGGCAAATAGTGATGTCATGATCATCAAAACACTTGAATATCATGATGACGTTTTAAACAGGCAACAGTTCATTCTGTGGCCCGGTCAACAGTTTGACTGTTTCATGATCACCCCAAAACATAAAATGAATTGTGAAACAGTTCAAAATGCCTAATTACATTTTATATAGTAGGTTAGGTAATAATTAAAATTGTTCAACAACTGTTACATCCTGACCTGGCTGAATAAACCACAGCTTTGTGACAGTAGCTAACAGTTTATTGTTGTTTACATTGTTTTATTGATTTTTTTTTCGGATCAAAATTAAAATTCCTCAAAAAAATGTGATTGATCAAAGGTATATTATTGGCCCCAGAAGTTTCGATTTTATTACTTTTGCTAATTGTAGAGGGGTACATGTATTTAATAAATTTATCATTTTAACAGTAACTTGATCCAAAGAGCCGCATCATGTCTCGTTGACAAGCCCTGATCATCAGATCAAACTAGATGCTTCACATCTCGTTTGATCTGGTGATCCATGCTAAGCCTCTTCCGATCAAGTTACTGTTATAAGAATTTATATTTATATCACTTACAATATGAATAGCATATATATTGTACATGTACCATTATAAATACAACCTACCCACATCCCTGACGTTAATGTAGTACGTATCATTATACTTGGCATCAGTCTTAGGAACAGCTTCACACCCTCCAGCATAAGTCACATTACATTTTATGAGGTAGCAAGTATTACTATGAAATAAAGCCGAGTCACAGTTCTCAGCGTCCTGACAACAGTTCACGACACACAGCCAGCGATTGGTTGACTTGGCATCCTTGACATACTTCCCTGCAGCAGCCCCACCTTTTGGGAGAGAACTTTTGTGGATCCGACTCTTAAGAAAACTGGGTTTAACTTCTTTTCCACAAATGTCTGCACCAAATGATTCTAAAATGAGAAAAACATAACTAAACCTTTTCAAGAGCTCAGTCAAACATGTTAGTAAAACACATAAACCAATATTTTTCATTTTAAACTATGGAGGTCAATATCCAAGGTCAGCTTAGTTTTACTGATTGATGTCGACATTTCTTAAAAATTGCATTAATTTATATGGCCCAAAAAGCATGGAGGACAGTGAAGAACAAAAACAGACAGCAATATTTCAACTGAATGACTCAGGTGACTAGAAAATATCTACTATAATCAGTTTGAAACTTAGCTTAACACAAAATAAGAACAAAAGATGTTTGTGAAACACATGCCCTTTTCTCCTGGACATACATGTGAAGAAAGTAAACAGAAACTGCAAATAATTGGAATTTTCCAAGTCCAAGGGGCATGACTCTTTCAAAAATTGCTCCATCATACCCAAAACAGAACTTGACCTAGATATTCTTATGATAAATCTGTACACCAAATTTCATTTTAGTGCTCTGCGAAGAAAATGCAAAGAAACTTTGTAGACTGACAGACAGACCAACAGACAGCAGCAAAGCAATATGCTTTACCTTCTTTGAAGGGGATTGGGGGGATTAAAAAGTGAGTTCAAGGTCACAGAGAGGGTAAAGGCCACACAGCTATACCACTGTAAAATAGCTCTCACTCATACGCAACAGTGAATTTGATTATATATCTTGAGCAGATTCTTTAACACTGAACAAAATGCAAAGTATGACAGACAGTCAAGGACTGAATAATGAGCAAATTGACAAACCCTTTTTTTTTTTTATATCCCCACCATATCCAGAGTGGGGCGGTCCAAAAATGTCCAACATGGGAAGATTTATTTTAACACTGTTAAAGTGTACATGTATTATACTATCCATCAAAAGCGATAATTTGATTTTTTTTATTTCATTTACATGAAACTAAAATTAATATTTCAAGTACCGTATAAGTGGAAATTTTAGCGAGACGCAAATTTAGCGATTTCTACCTACAATCTGGTATTTTATTTAAGCGAGACGTAATTTTTAGCGATTTTAAAATGCTAACTATAGAAGCTATTGCAAATAATACGCAATTAATTTTTAGCGATATTCAATTTTAGCGATGCCAGTTACCTCGCTAATAATGCCAAAATTAAATCCTCGCTAAAAATTCTACTTATACGGTATTATAAAACCAGTTGATGATTTACAAATTTAACATAATACAGTGTTCAGTTGAAGAATAATATCATAGATCAATACGAACTAAAATAATTAATCCATATTGACATGACAAATACTAAAAATAAGCTTTTGTCAGCTTTCAGTCACAAGTCCCTGTATCAGGGTTAGATGCAGGCTAGGAGACACCAGATGGCAGCCATCGACTGGCCACACAAAACGACTGAGATACCCTAGGCTTGGTGTTAATCTGATCACCACCATAAACACTGTAAATGAACCTTGTAAAAAGCCTCACAAACCAGGAACTCCCTCTGATTTCTATCAAGCTCATTAAGTACACCGTTCAACACTTGAATGGTTTGCTTCACACAGAAATCTTACTTTTCATTTCTTTAACCTGAAGGTAATTTTAAAGTTCTGCATGATGATTTTATTTTATATGATCCCATGAAATAACAAGTGCATGTTTTCATTCAATGTACTGAAATTTCAATATCACAATAAACTTTTAGTCCACTGTGCCTTCGGCCAAAATAAAAAATAGTCTTGCTTCCTGCTACCCGACCTACCCTATTTTTTTGCACCCGACCCTAAAGTTTTTTTTAGCATTTGGGGGAAAAATTCAAAATTTTAGGAATTTCATGTTTCAAAAGTGAAAAAATATATATACTCAAGTTGTATTACATGAAATATATGTTTAAAATATGGACTTTCATAAAATTCCACTTGAGTTGTGCATCAAAAGACATGGAATTTCATTTTAAAAGATAATATTGACCTAGCTATGACATGTTCATTTTGGTTTTGTAGTAGTTCATATCCAAAAAATACCATTGGAAAAATTAAATAAAATTAAAAAATAAAATAATTTTCCTACCTACCTACCCTATTTTTTTCTGGCTGGTAGCAGGAAACAAGACTATTATTTTTTTTGGCCTTATATATATCAGAAGACTTATGTCCATTGGATATAAATGCTCTGTTGCAGGCATATGAAAAGATATGTACATGTACTTTTCTTTTTTGGTCTAACATTGCATTATCTAACACCTAAATGAAGTATTATTGTTTCCAAGTTCATTCTCTCATAGTTGGCAAATGTGGTTTGGCCTTATACATAACTGTATATTTAACTGGCTCAACCCCCCCCCCCCCCATGTTGACCAGATCATTTTTAAGCTATAATGGCAGGATCTGAAACCTGAAGTGATACAGTGAAGCATCATCCATACATTTCTGATCAGTACAGGGCATAGAAGTACTAGAAAAGAAGTTGTTCTGCTCCAAAATTTTAACCTTGGATGCTTACACTTAAGCATATGCCAAGGGAACATATCTCCCCCAAATTTGTTAAGGTGAGCTAAAAATCTTCCTGCCTCTATCAGGAAGTAGACAGTCATTTATCTGTAATCAATGTTCTACCCATTAAGCTCTCCAAATTAATTCGCAATCGCAATAATTCATAAAAATCCAATACGCAATCTCTCTTAATTGCACATCAATCTGGCATTGTGGGTGCTTTTTTGTGTTTGTTGAGTTGCTCATAAAAACTGGTTTCTCTTTATGGTTCAAGCAGTTGCAGCCTATGACGGGGATTTTTAATAAGTATAAGCCTGGAATCAGACAAACGGGTTAAGAATCAGCGAGACAAATCAATTACCATTATTAATTTCTGGAAGGAAACATATTCCACATTTTTTATGTATTCATTGCCAGTTTTGAGAGGACATCCGAATTGTTTCATAATTATAAATTCACCATCTGATTCTAGCTTTTGGTCCATTTACAATAAAACAGGCTGTATAGTACAGCTAATCAATCAGACAATAAGAATTTAATGACTTCTCGAGAAACACTAAAAACTAGGGTATGGAAAAGAAGAGAATCCCCACACAAAGAACATATCTATGAATCAAGACAGCATTTGATGTCGATCCTGATCGATGCAAATATGTAATTTCTGTTTTGTACAAGGACAAACTATGTATAAACACACAAGCAGCACGTTACTATGTCCTCACCAAGTCCATTGTCAGGGGATAATCAAGAAATTTTAGGAAAACAAATCATATTGTAACAAATCACACAAATTCAGGCTCTCTTTAATGCTTTATCCCAATGTGTGACAAACTGTCAGAGTTGACAAACCTGACAATGATTCAGATCAATACCACCACGATTCTGTTGGTTTTTGACATAGATACATTTAACTGTGAACATGGTGAACAGAAAGATATCAACACACCTTATCCCAGCCCTCCAAAAAAGAATAGGTAAATGTTTAAAGAAGGTGTATTTAACAAAAATTTTACTCTCTGTCCAGATAAAGAAATTATGACATATATGCCTAATCAAAGAAATAATATCAGACCTTGTAAGAGGAATTGGGAATTTATAGGATAAATATACAGTGTACTGCAATGTATTAGATTCTAAGCCATTTATAAGTCGACACATTATTATTAGATCAAAGCATGTTGTATTGTTCTAGACCATGTCATTAACAATTGACCTAATACATCCTAGTGTCCAGAGACCCAAGGTCTTGTGCTGAAAACCACTTAACGCTGGCTCAGAAATCAATAACACCGGACTTCTAACTACTTTAATTCACTGCATTAGAGACTGATAGATCATTAATAAATGATCTGTAATGACACGATTATACGGAACTTTTTAAAAGTTACACACAGAGGGCATCCATCTACTTCATCATGTTCATTTCTTTATGTATAAGTACAATATTCTAAGTGGTCTTTATATAAATGTATTAATGGAAAGGACTTATACAGGCAGTGCCTGCTGTCCAATCCCATTATGTTAATTCATAATAAAATATTGTTTATTAAGTTAAATGTATTAATATGGAAATATGTTAGTGATGATCAAAGCATTTCAATCAAAGTTTGAGAGAATTTTGATGCACAACTCTGTGCCTAATGCCTATTTCCTGGTAATTCTTTAAGTTTGCATAAAAAATAATGATTTTAAGACAACAATGGTTCTGCAGAGATTACTTTGTTTTGCAGGATTGTTTACATAAAAGACAAGAAGCCTTACTTATAAAACTGTGATGGATATTTATATCTAGGATCTAACAATACAAGATTGCAAGACTTGCTAGGGTTTTAGATTAATCAATGTCAAAATTAAAATACTTACCAGAAATGGTGAGGAGAAAGATAATAATAATCAGGTTTGTAGCAGACATCCATTTTACACGTGAAATGTCTCTGGGCTTTGAGAACATTGTACACATCCTAGCCCATAATGACTGTGGTCAGCATTTAATGAGGGACAAAATCTGCAAATAATATACCGAAATGTTCATATAGAAGTTTGTATAAAATTTGAGCCAGAGATAAATATAAATATATAACAATGTCAGCTGACTTACAATGAACTAAAAATATGTCCCTAGGACATGAATACCCCGCCGAGGATATATTAGTAAAGCAACATGAAAATTTGTATGTTTATAAAATTTGATCAGAATATCTTGAATAGTGATGCAGCTGAATTGCTTGTTTGGAAAATAAAGGTCAGATCCAGTATCCGAAGCAAGTCTGGAACTGTCCATCCCTAGATGCATCATCCTTGCAAGTTTGGTTCACGTAGGGCTTATAGTTACTAGGGAAGAAAAATGTAGGTCAGATCCAGCATCTGAAGCAAGTCTGGTAGTGTCCATCCCTAGATGCATCATCCATGCAAATTTGGTTCAGGTATGGCTTATAGTTACTTGGGAATGAAAATATAGGTCAGATCTAGCATCTGAAGCAAGTCTGGTAGTGTCCATTCCTAGCTGCATCATCCATGCAAGTTTGGTTCAGGTAGGGCTTAGGGAATAAAAATATAGGTCAGATCCAGCATCTGAAGCAAGTCTTGTAGTGTCCATCCCTAGATGCATCATCCATGCAAGTTTGGTTCAGGCAGGGCTTATAGTTACTTGGGATTGAAAATATAGGTCAGATCCAGCATCCGAAGCAAGTCTGGTAGTGTACATCCCTAAATGCATCATCCATGCAAGATTGGTTCAGATAGGACTTCTAGTTACTAGGGAATGAAAATATAGGTCAGATCCAGCATCCGAAGCAAGTCTGGTAGTGTTCATCCCGAGATGCATCATCTTGAATGGTATGTTTAAAACTGAGCTAAACACTAATTTAAGAAAAGTGAGGTCACGGTCAAAGGAAAGGTCAAGGTCAAAAAATGCTGATGCAGTTGCATAGCTCTCATCAATATCTATCAGCATATGAAGTTTGATGAAAATATTTTGGATAGTTTCTTTGAAACTTAGCTAAACACAAAGTGTGATGGAAGGATGGAAGGACAGAAGGATGGAAGACAGACATGACAAACACTATATGCCCTGGCCATATTCATGGCGGGGCATAAAAATATGTTATTTATCAAGTATCTGGTGATGTTAAAAGACCGACCCACATATGCCAGAAAAGCATAATACTGAGAGCTTAAGGCATTGTTTGGTGGGAGAAACAAACTCTGTTTGGACAAACCTTATCTTAAGTTATCTAAGATTTGTGAAAAAGGACTGAAATCTGAAGGGAAAAGTGCATTTTGCTGCTGGCAGCTTTTGCTGTAATTGGGAAGCTATTTTGAGAGATAACTAGGATGGACTATACTCCCTGTACCTCACAGTTCTCCACCAGATAAGCATTATATGACAAGTAAATCAATCTGTTATGTGTGATTTCCCCAGTGACAGTAATGCCTGATACATGTACATTCAACTGCTGCTAAACAAAATATGCTAATTAGACCTAATCATGCAGTATCATTTTGCAAAAAAAAAAAAAAAAGAGTAACCTACAATTCATGAAGTCAGACAAACTTTCTCCTTAATTACATGTGATCTGGGGATTTAAATGATTTGTCAGACCTTTGATAAATCACATCATGCAATGTATACTTTATTATAATGCAATAATGCAAGAACAGCCTTTTGCAATGACCTGTTTAAACTGTAGTGATTTCTTTATTTTCTGCACTTTACTAACACAGCTGAGCATCATGAAATACATCTTGGTATATCATTATACAAATTATACATGAATTATACATCTGTGTCGTGAAATATTTTTCGTTGCATCAATATGCTGGCTGCAGAACAGTTAATACCTCAAAGTCCATCATGGTATCAAACTGTTCAAGCACCAAAATCCAAAATCCAATTCATGATCAAAGATATGAAGAACAATTTTGTTGCACACAAAATTTATAAAGATTCCATTTTCAGTATGATGCAAGAACTTGGTCAAACACATGGAGATGTCTCTATTGATTTCAGAAGAATTGTGTCATTTTCTCTTGTTTACTTGCCACTAGCTCCAATTTTTAGCAATCAATAATTATTGCTTGTAACCATTGCTTGGACTGTCCAACAGCATACACTTATCATTTCCATTTCCAATGCTCAAATGTAGTTAAAAAGTTATTTTTCAAACAATTATGCCAAACTGCCTACACCATGTTTTTAAGTGAATTAAGACATCCTATAGCAAATTTTAATACAAGCTAAAATGAGCTAGAAAATATTATTAAGATGGTGACCATCTCAAAAGTGACTCTTTTTATAAATGTGCATTTAATTTAATAAGATATAAGGTAAAGAAAAGAATTTGCTACACATATTTTTTGTAAGAAGTTCTTAAGAGGCAGTCCACTGAAAATCAGGCAATGGGTGGCACATCGCATGTCATGGATTTTTATTATTTTTAGCATGTATACTTATTTAAGCAAGTGTTTACACATGAGAACATCAAAAAAAAATTTAGTGCTCCACTAGTCCTATTTTTGGTAATTGCTCAATTTTAAGTGCAAATAGGTCAACATGGGGGTAAAAAAAATTACTACGTTTTTATTTTGTTTTATATGTACCAGATACGCAAAACCTGGATGTGTCTATCAATATTATTTATACCATAGACTCTTATCTTTAATTTTAGTAATGAATAAGACTCCAATTTATATTTCTTTAGAAAAAAATATGTGGTCCAAAACTGAGTTTAGCAAGTAACTTTTTGAATTCATTATCCAATTTTCATTACGTTATAAAACCCAATACATTTCAATGACAGATTTTTTTTCTCCTGTTATTATGAATACAAAGTACAAACTTTTGAGTCACTCAATAAAATCAGTGGGCACCCTTATATTGAGAGAAATAAAAGGAGTCAAATTTACCTATGTTTTACAATTTTTCACAATTAAACCGATCCCGACCGGAATTATTTAAAGAAGGAAATACTATAATTGTAATGTTAAATTTGACTTGTAATATGGCCAAAAAATTACCTGATTTATTTTTGTACATGTCTTATGGGTGGCAGTTGTCTTTAGTTTTCTAACTTTACACATTTTGCATTATTTTCAATCGGGATCGCTTTTATTTCAATCGGGATCGGTTTTTACCGTAAAACTAGAAATATTCTGCATTTCATGTATCAGAAAAAAATATGCTTGTCTTTTATTTCTGTTCAGTTATTCAACTTTTTAAAATTATTTTATCCATGGATTCAAATGTTTATACAATTTATTTAAAATACTAATGTCTTTTACGTACATGAAGATTACAATCATGTATAACATCTGTACGATTTCTTGATACTCGGTATTAAAAAAACAAGTATTTGTACATGCATTATGCAACAACTGAGAGTAAACAGCTTATCTTTATTAAATATCTTATTTCCAACTAAAGTTTTTTTAAATTCTCTCGTGAATTAAAGAGTTCAATTCTATCATTGGCGAAAATATACTTGCACTACCTAAATGCAGAAAATATTTAAATGTGCACAGTCTCGGCTTTATCCAAATTTTTTAAACCTGTCATCTATAAAAGCCGTTTCCCCTATATTTTCATCTTATAAAATTTAATTTTATATTAATAAGAAAATAAGTTATTTCATATATAGTATTATGATTTAAGAGCCTAGAAATCGCAAGCAAAAAGCCGGGAGGGGTGGGGGGGGCAAGGCGGCATATTAAAAAAAACTTTCATTAATGGGAAAACATTTTAGAATTGGCCAACATGGTCACATTTTTTAACTTCAAATTGAATGTGAGTATGTGATTGTTTCAATCACCAAATTTAACCAACAAAAAACCCAAACAAAAACAATATAAAACAAAAAAAAAAAAACGCCCACGAAATCTTCCGTTTTAGTGGCAAATTGAAGTGGGGAGTTCAACAGTAATTTTCCTCAATAAATATTCTTTAAATCTTATTTTTCACTCTTTTAATAAAATATTTTTAATCGTACCGCGGATCGTTTACTTTGGTTTGACTGCATAGATAAATATAATCAAGTGTGTGTGTGTGTGTGGGGGGGGGGGGGGGGTGTGTGTGTGTGTGTGTGTGTACAAATATCATGAAATAAATATCTCAACTCCGTTGACTTGAATTAAATGTTGCGTAAATCTAAAATATTCATCTTTCCTTGATAATCAGAAGAAAATAAAATCCCTTCACATCCCAATTTTATAAGAAATATTCAGTATAAACAATTAATTATTTGTACGCATAGCCTTGTAAATCAGTTTAAAAAATTAGTTCTCGGACATGTACAAAATTACTTTTAGCTGAGACGTCGCCCGTGAAAAAAATACATTTTATATAAAAATATATGATTATTTAACATGTAGGATAATGCACTCTGAAAAGTAATTGAACAGAAAAAGAGAAATTATTTATTTTTAATCGTTTTATTTGCGCTTTTATGCAAAGAATTTACAAACTTCTTTGGAAAACTTGTAACTATTTAATTGTGACGCAATATTAGTCAGGTATATGACGTCACTGATACATCAATGGAAACGTGGATTCAACCTGAATAATACTGCCAATCTTAATCTAAATATTACGTTTGGAGGCGAAAATGAATTCTATTTTGAAAATAAAGTAGTAATTTTTTGTTAAATAATTTTATTTTGTGTATATATTCTAAATATTTCACTAGGATTTCGATAGTAAGGTGTTTAGCAGATTTACCGATGCCACGGGAGATAACTCTTACATCGCAAAATTTCATAAAAACGTCTCTGTATTTTGACAGAAAACTACTATCAATTTAAGTGTTTTGCCCACCAATTTTATTTTTGAAACTGAAAGACGAAATATTTCTAGATTTAGTTCAGCATGAATTATAGTCCTGTTAAATAAGTATTGGAAATTACAGTTCGTTGTTTCTGACCTAAATTCAATGGTTTATATAGGGGAATTCAAAAACACGAAACAAAAGGATATTTTACTAAATAAGCAATTTTAAAACAAATCTTTGATTACATTTTTCCATTTGGACTACATTGATAATGTTTTCAATAAAATATCAAATATTCGTCACATTCGATGTGCCGCCTAATAATACAACCCTGCCTGGTTTTTCGGCGGACTACCTCTTAATATCTGTGATTATCAATTCTTTTAAAAATGCATTGAATGAATGCAAAGCCTAAAGTACAAAGTACCAGAACATAACCTTTAAATAATCACTCTTCCATGAATTGTTCACAAAATCTACTTTAACCTTGACCTTTGACTTAGTTCAAATTGGCAAACTCGATCTTGATTCAGATTACTCTATGAGAAGTGTTAGCCAAACACAAGAGTTAAACTGCAGAAAATATAAACTCCTTTGGTCAGGTAACGTTACTTGGTGGTTCAGGTATTTTCCGAAATTCTCCTGTATTTTTTTTTTTTTTTTTTTGCTATTAAATTTCAGTTTTCCAATTTTAAATCTTAAACATATTTGAATAACCAAAACATTAATGTAATTCTATGAAAACATGTTCTTGTTTTTAAATCTTTCAATCATTACATCCCTTTTCTAATTAGACTCCGTCATTACACAATGTTGACCAGTGTTGTTACTTCTCCTTACATACGTTATCAGCTCATTGTTACATGTCAGATAAGGCATTACAACCATTTCACTTCCTACTTCAGTACAACTACCTGTCAGCACCTGATCATTGCTGATGTTAGTCAATTCACATGCTACACTACTATATTTTAGCTTCTCCATTTTATATTACATTGTCGAGATTTAATTAAAATAATAAAAAGTATCATGATCAAAAGAATTTTCTTTACCTTTGCAAAGAAGTCTTATTAGAAACATCTTAATTTTCAACAAACATTTCTGTCAAATTAATTTAAACTAAATAATCTATGGAAAATAACTAAAGTCTATTATTATCCACTGAGATAACACAGATAAACAGGATTGCTATAGCTGTCATAAGCATCAGTCACCCTGTCATATTGTAAACCTTTCATATTGTAAAATTCAATACTAGAGCATTGTTAACATGGCTATGGTCAGAATTGGTTTTTACAAAAAGAAGAAAGTAAGCTGTGGGATTTCACACCAAGTTCCTTCTAGAATCAAATTACTCATCAGAGAAGCTGTTCTTTCAAAATTCTTTTTTTTAATAATAGAATTACATGCAGTGTATTTAAAACTAGTAAATTCAAACTATGCAATACAGTAATATGTTCAAGTATTACCATTACAGGTATTAACTTCATAAATCACTGAAATTTAAAAAAAGTGGTATCCTTGTGGTTCCATGTGGTAAAAAGACACACTCCAAATATAGCAATATAAGCTACATAAAATCACTGTGTGATTTGGGTGTGATAGCTAGCCGATGGTAACTGAACACATGTACAGGTACATATAATATGTATGACATTTCATATATTTCTGATACCACTCACCAGATCATGGTGGGACACAAGTTATCAAATTCTATGATGATTGTTTAAAAATAAAACCTTTGTTACCGGTAAGTCATACATTCACCAATTTTATCATGTAAATTTTTTTGGTGATGATTCAATTTATTGTCTATGGATTTTTTTGCTGTTCAATTTAGAAATGTGCACACCACAGGTATGACCCATCAACAACTTACAAGGGATATATACTCCTTCATGGCACCTGATCTCATCTGGAGTCAGTATTACTGTTTGTTATCTTCTCTTTCTCCTGTCAACGTTCAGTGCTCATGTCACAGGAAGAGGAGGAAAATGTGAAATGACCAGATGGGGATTGAAACCCAGGCCCCTGAATCTCCAGTCAGTTGCCCTACCGAGTTTTCTGGTCCTTGGCATTTGAACCCTCCTGACCACTACACTTGCAATATGAAATTGACTTAGCTGCAGGCTTGTACCTTGCTGGTCTGAAAAAACTGCCAGTTGGAAAACCAGAAAGCTACGGTGCCGACCATTGAAAAAATAAAAATACCAGGTATATTTATTGCTTACAAAAATGTGCACTGTTTCTCAATTCATTTCTCTATACAAGTTATCTTCAACAAATATTATAAACCGTGTCTTCCTAACATATATTTTCACTTTTTCCATAATATTATAAAACATTTGTCAAAATTGTTGTTAAAAGCCCTCCTGGGTCTAAAATTGAGACTTCCGAAAATTTTCCAAATATAATGTGAACGTATTACATTTGGCTATGTATTCTATTTAGAACCTTTTGTGGAAAGCATCTTCGGCTTAATCAAGTACATTGCTAGTCTACTGTCTTATTTACATACATATTCATATAAAACACATTCAGAAAGCGCTAATTCAAATCAACACTAACTTGTTAAAAAATCAATTTCCGACAAATTTTGTACACACTAAATAAAATACATTTACAGTATATCACCATCTTGGGTGTCAAGCCAATACAATCCGAGGCACTTTGTATATGACTTATATGTATAGATTCTTTGTTGAAGACATAAAGGAATATGTAAGGAACACACAGTTAGTTATATTTTTAGTTATATGGAGAAATAAATCGAAAATCAGCACACATTTTGTGCACAAATATACACTTTTTTCAATGGGTGGCTCTGTAGCTCTCTGATTTTCCAGACTCTAGTACTTTTTGTTGATTTGAACTAAAACTTCACCAACAGAGACAAGTGCTAATAACTTTTTTTCGCGAAATTCTTTACTGAGTTTTCAAATGCGATAATGCTATGTCAAGAGCACATCATTATGTAAAAACTGCATCGGATGATTTACCTTATGTAGATATTAAATGAGCAAGATATTTAGTGGATACAACAGGTTGGGACCAATCGCCCAAATGGGATATAATAGTCTGTTTGGGATATAATATCCCAAATGGGCTATAAATTTACAGTGCAAAAATTGAAAAATTTTATTTTGGCTATAAATATCATAAATCCGCATCAGGACACTTAAAAAGGAATAACTTTTGGTTGACAAGTTTTCCTGTATGCCCATTGTTTAGGAGATTGATCCCTCGGAAGTTCCTTAACTTCTTGGGGATCAATCTTCCAAACTGTAGGGTTGCAGAAAAACTTTCTTACCAAAAGTTATTCCTTTTTAAGTGTTTTGATGCGGATTTATGATATTGATTGCCAAAATAAAAATTTTCAATTTTTGCACTGTAAATTTATAGCCCATTTGGGATATTATATCCCAAACGGACTATTATATCCCATTTGGGCGATTGGTCCCAACCTGTACAATAGGACAGAGAATATTCGCATCAGCCTTCATTTTCAGAACAGCATGCACAGGGAGACATAACATTCAACATGGACAATCTCGACAGTTCAAATGAGAAACTGGTTAAAACTTCGACATCTTTATTCTTTATTATTACTGACCTTATGTATTAATTGATTAAAATTAAAATGTGTTTACTTACTAATTCTCCTGTGACTGTGTATTTTGTTCTTGATGTAAACGTCATCGTATCTGAAATTTCATTGGTCGACTATTTCTCAGAAAAGGTAAACTGTTCAAGTTGTGAGTCGAGGAGACATTTCCAAAGAAAAAAAGTTCGCACGGCAAAGTAATTATTTTTTTTAAAAGAGTTATTAAGAGTTTATTTAAGCATTTCTGATAAAAATAAAATCTTTTAAACTTTACTTCAGGTGTCAACACATTTGTTTCGAAACAGTATACGTATGTCTTATCCATTTCTGATATTTCTTTCAAAATGGCTGCGCCCATCATAACACAAATGTGAGAAATTGTAACATGGCTCAAAACTTGGTACAGTATATAGTCGTCCGGAAGGATCTGTTAAAATCCGGATGGCCGACAGGTGCCCTTATTACACAGGCTTGTCACGCCTGTGTTGCTGTCATACATCAGTTTTACGACAAGGAAGACACCAAGAAATACCTCAACGATATAGACCGAATGCATAAAGTAACATTAGAAGTAGGTCCCAAATGTTTTTTTTTTTTATTTTATACAGTATTGCTGAAACTTTCAACCAGATAATGTGTAAACAAAATTTATACTTTACAAAATAAACGAGATGATTTTTCAGACCCCCCCCCCCCCCCAAATTATTTGCCACAATTAATCAGGTTGGGACCAATCGCCCAAATGGGATATAATAGTCTGTTTGAGATATAATATCCCAAATGGGCTATAAATTTACAGTGCAAAAATTGAAAAATTTTATTTTGGCTATAAATATCATAAATCCGCATCAGGACACTTAAAAAGGAATAACTTTTGGTTGACAAGTTTTCCTGTATGCCCATTGTTTAGGAGATTGATCCCTCGGAAGTTCCTTAACTTCTTGGGGATCAATCTTCCAAACTGTAGGGTTGCAGAAAAACTTTCTTACCAAAAGTTATTCCTTTTTAAGTGTTTTGATGCGGATTTATGATATTGATTGCCAAAATAAAAATTTTCAATTTTTGCACTGTAAATTTATAGCCCATTTGGGATATTATATCCCAAACGGACTATTATATCCCATTTGGGCGAGTCCCAACCTGTTAATGGTATGCTTTGAATCTAGAATTCATTTAAATGATTATAAATTTTCATTTGCCTTTCTGACAAGTTTTATAGCATTAAAATTGAACTACACATAATATCTGATCATTAAATGTTTGCATGGCTATGGCTTTATCTCATCCTATTTTTTGCAGGCAACAGATGAAGAGAGTATTGTAAAGCTGTCAGAAACATTGGCCAGTAAAGGGATTGAGCATAAACTTTGGATAGAACAGCCAGAAAATATACCGACATGTGTAGCAACAAGACCTTACATAAAGGAAAACATTCAAGAACATTTTAAAAAGTTCAAATTATTCAAATCATGATACTAGTTTCTTATGAATTCTATTATAAACTTTACACCTATAATCCGGGTACCTGTAAAGTGCGAAACGAAATAGAAACGAAACGAAACGAACTGAAACGAAACGAAATCTGTCGAAACGAAACGAAATCTACCGAAACGAAACGAAACCTACCGAAACGAAACGAAATCAAGACGAAACGAAACGAAATCAAAACGAAACCTGCCGAAACGAAACAACACTATCAAAATGTTTTGTTTTTTTTTTTAATCAAGGTACATCATAACATGTATATAATTATAAATGTGTAACTACATGTGGACTTTTTTTTTACTTCAAATAAAATTCATGTACTTCAAGCACTTGTTAATATAAAATTTAAATACCGATAAATTATGCTCCCTTCTCAGTCTAATGATGCATTTACATGTTTGCCAGCTGCAAATATGCACGAGCGTACTATGCATGTTTAGTTTCAATATGTGCATCATTTTCTAATTTTTATATCTTACTCTTATTTTCAGTCCTTATTTATCTAGATACAACATATCTATCAAAATTGATGTGTTACATGTAAAGGCTCGTTTATGTACGGGTCGAAATAAAGTCACTGTACTGTTGTATTGCGAATGTCTTAAAACATAGGATAAACCAGAGACTTACATGTAGAGTATTAAAAAATTTTAGTATTCCATACCGAGATGTATAGTTTTATTGTTCAATTATACATGTAACTCCAACCGCAATCTTGTGTATCCTTTCTACGTACATACGGTCCTATTTTTATCGAGGTAATTTTGGAGGAAGAAAGGAGTGGTTTGCAATAAAGAGGCTTGACCATAGACGTCTTAAACGATTTAACTGACAAGTAAAAAGTCTCTCGAAGCGAACGATGTCATTTTTAAGTAGGTAAATTATTCAGTAAGATATTAACAAAATATGACATACGTGTCGGAAGCGGCGGGGAGGGGGGGGGGGTAGCCTCCATCCCCACTTTCTTGCAAAGATATATATTACATAGGAATTGAAAACTGGGGTTTACCTTTTTTTGGTTAAGCCCCTCCCCAACTTTCAATTTCCTTCCGACGCCTATGTAAGAACTTGAAGCGAAACAATTGCCTGTGGTGCTTGAACTATATAAATTTCATATGAAGTAAAAATAGACCATATAAACATTCTGAAAGTTTTGTTTCGTTTCGTTTCGGCAGGTTTCGTTTCGTTTCGTTTCGGTAGGTTTCGTTTCCTTTCGGTAGATTTCGTTTCGTTTCGGCAGATTTCGTTTCGTTTCAGTTCGTTTCGTTTCTATTTCGTTTCGCACTTTACAGGTACCCCCTATAATCCTGTGTAATAAATTGAGATTACACAAATTCATTTTTTTCTTGTTTATTGATATTTCAAAAGTCATTTCTTTAATCAATGTATTGTTGTCCAAATTGAAATCTAAATCAGATACTAAAAAGCACAATGATATGAATGTAATTTAGAAATTCTGACGTTTCTTTTTCTTTCTTTCTTTTTTTGTTTGGATATTCTTTCTTTTTCTCAAGTCAGTCAGTTTATTTAAAGACATTTGTGGAATATGCCAAAAACCAGAAGTGTCTGAAGAAAATGTAGCTCTATTGGATTTTTAGCTCTTCTGAGCCAAAGGCTCAAAGAGCTAATGCTATGGCCATTTGTGCGGTGTGCGTAAACTTTTTAGAATATGGGCCATAACTCAAGAACCCCTAGGCCAATCAATACCAAATTTGTCACAGGGTATCCTTGGCCCAAGGGCTACTATTTATACTAAAATAAGGGTTGGGACCATTAAACAAGGGGAGATAATCAGGAAAACAAAACCAAAAGTACCGGTTGCTAAAAAATCTTCTTCTCCAGAACTACCAGGCAGATTTTCACCAAACTTACATACAAGGATCAGGATATGTCGAAGATTAAAATTTGCACGGGGAATTACCCTGGGGCAAAGGGCGTGGTCTCAAGGTCACTTCAAAGTTGACCTAAATTTACAATTAATAAAAACGTGTATATTTTGCTTACTATAAGGACTAGGATCATCAATTCTTGTAAGTTGTTAAATTTTGCGGGGATTTGTTTTCAAATTGATTTGAAGGCATATTTTGGACACTTTAAGGCCTATGATCATCAAACTTTGTCAGTTGATGCATCTTGGGTCCTCAAACAAGGTCAACTTAAAAGTAGGTCACCATGACCTACTTTTTGAACTTTATGACTTATCCTTTTAAAAACATTAAATCCCATTATTTCAGACACTGGGAGGTTTAGAATGATCAAATCTTGTACTTTGATGCATCTTGGGACCTTAAAACATATTTATGAAAAAGTAGGTCACTGTGACCTACTTTTTGATTTTGCCAACATTTGTTTTCAAATTGTTTAAAACGCATATTTTGATTACCTTCAGACCTACGATTATCAAACTTGGTCAGTAGATGCATCTTGGGTCTTTGAAAAATGTCGACCAAAATGTAGGTCACGATGACCTATTTTCGACATTTTATGGCTATATTTAAGTATCTTAGGTATTTATTGGCTTAGAATCATCAACCTTTGTGAGTCGATGCATATTTGGTTTTCGGAGAGTGACGACCTAAAAGTAGGTCACGGTGACCTACTTTTGACATTTTATGGCTTTATTTAAGTATCTCCGGTACTTATTGGCTTAGAATCATCAAACTTTGTGAGATGATGCATCTTGGGTTTTCGGAGAGTGACGACCAAAAGGTAGGTCATGGTGACCTACTTTTGACATTTTATGGCTATATTTAAGTATCTCAGGCACTTATTGGCTAAGAATCATCAAACTTTGTCAGTTGATGCATCTTGGGTTTTTGGAGAATGTCGACCAAAAAAGAGGTCACAGTGACCTACTTTTGAATATCTCAGGTACGTATAAGCTTAGAA